GTCTGGAGTTGCTCTGCCAAGGAACGATGCCGGCACAGGAGGGTGGGCTGGCGGATGCTGTCCTTAATGATGCCATTTCCCCAACGGGCACGCTTGCCTTTGCTACGGGATCCGCTCCTTCTGGCAGGGGGCCCCAGAACGCAAGCCTACCTCGGCATGGCGCGCCTCCTGCTCAGGAGGGCGCGGGGGGATGCAGGAGATTCAGTCTCCGCTCCCCCCACCGCGGGTGCAGCCAGCAGCGGGTGCAAGACGAAGAGAGCAGGCGAATCTTCATGAACATGCTGGCGATCATGTACCTCTACAGCTTGTTTGCGGCGAAAGGGGAGGTCCAGTTGGCGTGAAGCGAAGGCCCAGCTGCCTCAGGCCTTTTCACATCGAGGAGAGTGGTTCGCCTAGGGTCAGACCCAGCAGAGCACCCCTCACGAGGCCCAGAGGGTCCCAGGGGCTCCAGAATGGAGCGAAGAGCTCGGGGCACCGTGGGCCAGGGGCACACTTCTAGCAACGCCCCAAAAAGTACCCATATCGCTGCCCTTCGCTCGTTTTCGCTTTCTGGGGCCTCTTGGAAGGCCCTCTCGTTGCCACCTCTGGATTCCCTGTGGACTTCTGGTCAGGACGCACCACCCCGGGAGAGGTCCAGGGAGTGGCGGTGTTAGCATTTTTCCCGTTTCCCCAGAGACGCTCTCTCCTGGCAGGCAGGCGCGGACAACAGCCTCGTCCTCCTGATCCTCCCTCCTCGGCGACGGTCGGGACAACGGATGGTTCCGTCGTTTCGACCCTTTGGGCACACGCGATGGTACATTTCTTTAGAGCCTTGTTTATGAATATTATTGTTCTCTGGCGGCAAAAACGGGTACCAGAGCACCAGCTCTCAGAGTGGCATCGGGGGTAGCATGGAATCGCGTTGGGGACCGCCCAACCCAACTCAACTCCTCGCTCACGGTTGAGATCCTCCCCCACCGCGTACGGTCAGGGCGTCGAGAGAAACACAGATTGGCGTTCACGCGGTGCTCTGGTTTCTAGCCCGCTCCCTCGATTTTACTGTCGTGAAACCTATTCATGGCCGAGGCCAGCCGTGACCACAAAAAAGCTCATCCGCTTTTGCTGCAGCGTTCTTTATAGCAGATCGACGATGGTATCCTTACGTGGAGCGTGTCTTTCTACAGGAGGAATTCTCAAAAGTAGTTAAAACAACTGTCGGGGGACGGTCGGCGGATTGGTTTTTGATTAGATTGCATATTGTTTGATTATTTTGAGTTCTTCCATCAAAACCCGCCTGTAGGAGGACATGCCCGACCTGATTGCATCCCTATTCCCTCATCTGCATCCTCCCGATCATCGTCTTTCTCATCCTCGTCTTGCTCCCGATCCCGGCGTCGCCCCCTGTCTTTCCGCATCTGTCCTCGTCGTTCTCCTTTTGATCTTTCCTCCATTCTCATTCACTCATCATCCCTCTTTCTCCTCATCCTCCTCTCCCTCCTCATCTTCCGTCTTCTTCCGCTTCCATCGCTCCTCCTCCTCTTCATCCTCCCTGGGGATCACCTCCCATGTTCCTCTCGGCGGGGAAGAAATCCGCCCGCTGGGGCACCAGGACGTCGGTTCCAAGGCGGTGGATAAGGATACATCCCCGCCTCGCAACTCTCACCCAGAGTCGCTCTTGCGTGCAGCCGAAACCAGAGCCTCGGCTGCGGCAACTCGGGACGGAGCTTTGGGGGACGCCTTGGAGGGCGCAGGGGCTGTCAGCCGAGGGCGTGTGCGTCTTGGCTTCCCTGGGCGGGTCCTCCTGGCTGCGCTCGCGGCTCACTTCCGCCACGCGCAGAGGGGGGCAGGGGGAGGGGGAAGGCTTCTCAGAAGTACCCCCCCAGGCATGATCGCGTCGTGCAAAGATCAGGACGGCAAGTTTCGGCCCCTGGGGGCCCTCGCGGGGCCCCGGGACCGTCAAGAAACGACTAGGATGAAAAACTGGCCCCGGGGAAAGGGTCTGGACTTCAGGGACGCCGTCCTGCAAAAGTCAGGACTGGGAGCCGGCGGTAAACCGTCAACCAGGTTTTTTGCGGTCGACTGTGCAGGCTTTCCAGCCTAGTCGGAAGCAAGGAGCGGACGCATCGGGAGTAGGCGGAAGCCTCACCGATCCAAACGATCAGAGGCGAAAGCCAAACTTCTTTTTTATTTTTTTCTTTTTATTTTCTCTGTTTCTTTTTTTTCTTGATCTTTCTTTCTTTTCTTCTTTGTCTTTTCTTTTTTTTTTTTTTTTTTATGTTTCTTATTAGGAGGATGAGAAGTCAAGCACACACACACGACAAACAAAGGCATGGCGTGAGTGAGCACAATCAAAATCACATCATATCCTGTCCGAAATACGCTTGTACAACCCGCGGCAAGATTATAATCGTATGCTCAACGGCCGAGATCTCGGCATCAGTCACTGTTGAAGTTGGATCAATCGAGAGTGCCGCACTATACACCTCCGTCCAAATAATCTCATGGCTGAGTGGCTGCCTTGAGAGCCTCGATACCCGTCCAACATCTATCCAGCACCCGACTCCCACGCCGTCGCAAGAGACACCACCATCGAATCCAGCTCTGATGGCACAAACGCGAAACACATGTTGTAACTGAGGGGCGTGAAGCCCTATCCTATCTCGAATCACTGGTGGCCCGACGCGGGCCGTATGAGTGAGTACATCTGCACGCGTGTTCCATTCCCTATATGTGTGGTCAACAATTTCCCTCCCATGACAGGCAGGCCTAATTCCATATCTTTGACACATGTTGTCGAGTTGGTTTATCATTCTGTTGATCCTATCCTGATAAGTACGATTAAGCACCCTCCAGACACCCTGCAGCCAAGACACCACCAGAAGACTGTCCCCAGAAATGTACACAGGGATCCCAAATGAGTCGAGGTCGTACTCAACCTCCTTCATATTTTGTAACGCAATACGTTTGGCCAGTTTGTCGTTGAACGCCGCAGTGCCCTCTTGGGCCCCATAGGTGTGTAGGTCGTTTTGTGTGATGGTAAGTACCTCCTGCGGGGCCCCACCTGTTGTACCGTACCCTTTTCTTTTCTGAAAATAACTCAGCATCGTCCGTGTACACGTGCGTTCGCAGAACTGAACATACGCAGCATCTGTCGGCACAAAGGACTCCCACCATTTGAGTCCGTAGAATTCACAGAAAGAAAATAGCCAGCATCTCTGGCCAATAGCTCGACCTGAGCTAACATGTCTCCTTTTTAGCTGCGAAGCCTCCTGGAAGTGGAACATACCCCGCAGGCATTCCGACGCATCCGTCCTGAGCCTGTCCCACAGTGGACCGTATGCCACATTAGTCATGTGGTGATCTCTCCACGTACGTTGCGTCAAAGATATTTCCTCATGAGAAGCAGTACACAATATAGAAATGAAATCTGCAGCATCCTTAGCGGAGTTCCACACCATACGGAGAATTCGCTGCACCAAACTCGCAAATCCATAAGATCGAAATTGCTCTCTGGCCTCGTGGTACCGTCGTCGGTTCCAGTCCGCCATAGTCTCCTCTTCCCTCCTCGGCCGTCGAAACATACGGCACAAACACCATCCCTCGAAGGGATTGAGCATGTGTAGCGAGGAAGTATCAGCAGTACATGTCTCTAGACAATACAACGCCATGCTCTGCACCTTGTCTTGATAACGACAAACCTTATCACGAACAGCTACCGCTCTGTTACGAAAGAAATCCGACTGTCCAATGAAACAAGCACGAGCCTCCTTGATGCGATATTCCACATCAGGATGAGCGGGCACTAGGTAGGTGGAGAAAATCTCATGACCCAATACTTTCATTCTGCACACACGTCGTAGTCTAAAGTCCTGATATCTCGAGCACGCAGGTATACACAAATCCTCACTGGCAAGAACATGTCCGTCACCATCCACTCTCGCATTTTCCCCACTTGTCATATACAACGGGCTGCTATCCTTCCATCTCATCCCCCAGTCATGTAGTGGTAGGGTTAGATCGTGCATCATCTGAGCCAGCACAGTTGAGGAGGCAGAGACAAGGTAGCAGTTGTCCGCCCACACAAAGTGGTTCACGACTGTCCGTCGCTCATACTCTCCACAGACGCCTTCCAGCACATACCCCACTCCTCTACTGTCCCAATCCCGAAATATAGGTCCCCACATGGCACATATGATAAGGTTAAAGAGAAGAGGCCCCTCAGGGCCGCCCGTCCGTATACAGACGTCCCAGTTGATGTCGTGAATGGCCATACCCTCGACAACTAACGACCCCGTAGTGCAAACCAGCGGTGCAAGCAAAGCATACTGGAGATAGGCAGGAATATTGGCATGGCACATAGCTCGCTTGGCGTTTTGAAGGCTGCAATGGTCGAACGCTTGTTTGATGTCGGCGTTAGCGATATGGACCGTCTGATCCTTTCCCCAGATGTCCCCATGTTGAGCCAGAGCCTTGAGGGCCCCCACAATTTCCACCGTCTTACGTCCCTCCTGGAAGCCATAGATGCCCAGGGGTCCCATGAAGCCAGCCCTAGACACAAATTGTTCGACCAGGATCACCACACAAGCAGAACACCAACGGCTGAGACTGTTTTGCAGACAGAGGTACCGTGCATCTGTCAGTGATGTCAAGCTCGGCAGCTTGGGCATGAAGGCGATCAAAATCTGCCTCCAGTCCTGCGGATACTGCCGTGTCAAGCGAAATATCTCATCAAACATCCGAGCTACGCCACGCAAAGTCGCCCACGGCAATGCCTTGAGTAATTCACAAGGCAGCCTGTCGGGACCCGTGGCGCGCCTGGACTTGAGACGTGACCGTGCCTGGCATACCACCGCCAATGTCAGTCCCTCAGTGCAGTACCCGTCACATAGGTTCTGTTGTGCATCCCTCCTCAACTCCTCCAACATCTCCAGATCCCGTCCTCTGACCTCCTCCGAAGTATATCTCTGTCTGGTATGTGCTCTGATCTCCTCCACCCACTCCTCCCTGTCCTCAGATATCCGTCCCTGCACAATGAGGTGCTTGATACCGTAACGCTCTTTGCGCCTGGAGGCAGGAGAGGTCCACGCGGCCAACGCCGCACGATACTCCCTCCGAAGTCCGTTGGCACGTCTGCGCAAGCTGGGTACGTCCACTGACGCAGGCAGAGGCTTCCGTCAACCAGGTTACCGCCGGGAGCCTCGTAGAGCTCTTTTCTCGCGCGGCGCTGCTTGGAACACATGGAGGAAGCTTTCTCAAGCGTGAGCTGAAAAACTCGAAAAAAAACGTTTTTCGGTTTTCATCCAAAGTCGGTTCCCCCAAGTGTTTTCATGGTAATACTGCAGCTACGGACCTGATAATTTCA